GCCGAGAATACCTTTGTTCAACCTGAAATGACTCATTTTATCATCCAAAACGTTATGGAACACATTAATTAACTGAAAAATGTTGCATAGTGTGCCTTTAAACCCACCCGATACTACATGAGCTGACTGGACCTTATTTATACCCCAACACATGGTAAATTTCAGCATGATGCTGAGCCGTTTAAACACGACACCAATAGCAAAGCAGACAGTGGTACTTTAAATTACTATGTTTATAACTGTATAGTTCATTAGACGGCTGGTAAACTCATATAATATGTTTCAAACTGCAATAAAGATCTTAAAATAACAATGTATTGGAGTATTTTCATTTTTACACTAGGACTTGGAATTATGGGTAATCCAGAGCGTAGAATAAAACAATAACTGTTACGTACAATATGTTAGCAACGATAGATACCAAAATGAGGTATTTAAGCAGATTCCAGAAAAGAAAAAGCAAAGAAGAGCTCCTGGAAGAACGGAAAAAACTTTCCAAAATAAACCCTTTCTTTCAAAGAACCAAAGAGGGAGAGGTAGACGTTGCTGCTACAGTGAGTAAAGATTGCGACCAGGAGGTGAATGGAGAGAGCATGCGTGAGGAGGGGAGCTGTGAAACTGAAGGTAGCCCCATAAGACTAATTTTACAGCAGAATATACTAAAGCAGGCATCCCCAACCTCAGTCCTCGAGGCCCGCTGTCCTGCAGGTTTTAGAGGTTTCCCTGCTTTAGCACAGCTGATAATGATTGCAGTAAACCAAAAGCCTGTTAATCAGCTTTCAATTAAAATCAGCTGTGCTGGAGCAAGAAAACCTCTAAAACCTGCAGGACAGCGGGCCTCGAGGACTGAGGTTGGGGATGCCTTTACTAAAGTATATCCATGTCTAGTGAAGGTGAAGAACGATGAAATAATGAAGTGTGTATGTATGGGGCACAGTCTTAGTAGGTCACCCACAATACAGCCATACATTGCACATCCAAATTTTGAGTGGGAGATTTTAGTAGATTAGCATTAGTTTAGCATTTAAGATCAACTCTATAAACAAAGGGAACAGATAGAGAGAAATTGCATAAAACCTAGGTAAGAAGAACACAAACATAATACACTTTAATATGTTAAAAACTGACAAAGTAATTTAAAATAAAACGGTCACACAGATCAGTGAAGTTATAACCAGACATCATTTTAAAGCACAACTGAAAGGAAGAATTCTTGTTTTTCTTTTACTAAAAGTAAAACAGAAAAACTCCGTGATCAATCTTGGGATAATATTTACTGTAGGTAATGTTTAGGCTTATTTCCAGAACCGGTCCAAAGAGCATCAACTTTATCATAAAAGAAGGGCTTTGGCTTAAAAGTAACATATTTGATTATATGACAACTGAAATTCTAAACAAACAGATAAGGAACACCTTGGGAACCAATCATGTAGGTACTGGTTACGGTAACTACCCATAAGTAACCCAACCGAGCCTTATTAGGAGGCTACTAGTTAGGGAAATTAATCAGGAACTAATGGCTAGTTAATCGCTACTCACTTGGGAACACATAGCCCAGCCTTATTAAACAGGACTTTCTGTGGAACACAGAGTCTTCAGCCCTATTAATCAGCATTGACTGTGGAACACAGGGCCCAACCAGTAGAATAATTAACCAGCAAATACTGGGAAATTTGGCCATACTGGGGAGCTACTGGTTTGTTACCAAAGAAACAGAGGAGAAGTTCTCCATAAGGCGCAATAAGAAATACTGAGTAAATTAACATATCCTCCATCAGTAAGGTCACAACTCATAATTCTCAAAAAGCTGGTTCGGTGTGTTTACTGATTTGATCAAATTCTCTTTATTAAACCATCTAATAAACGACATTGGCAATTTTTAATTCTTCTCTGACTATGGGTTACTCTTTGAGTACTACCATAGTACCACTTGAATATCATTGGCTTGCTATTATTTTGTTAACAATTTGTAGTGAGGTATCATACCAAGTCTTACTTATAAACCAATCTTTAATTTGATCAGTACCTGACAATTACCTACTGTTTTAGAGTTCCCATAACCGCTTGTTACATTACCATCACCTTGCAGAGATTGGACGAACAGAGAGGAAGGACTACCCAAGATGCTGATTCAACATTACAGAATCGAATAAATGGTGACAATGAACAAAACTGATTAATAATCAGAAACCAAAACTATCTCTAAACATAATTTAAAATTCTAAAAAGTTTTTACCTCTTTACCAATAATAAAGGTAACTAAATATATTGCAGCTATTTGTCTTCTGCTGCTTACTTTAAATTAGTTGGAGCCACTCTAACCTTTTGACATGCAAAGTTAGACATATATATTTTTTCTGATATCTTTAAGGACCAGTTCAACTCCTGTAATATGATATGGCCGGAGCCAAAGGATGTGTGGTCAACAGCTTTCATCATTTACACTGCCACAGTGGGTTTCTTTGGACCACTGCTAATCATTTCCCTCTGTTACCTTCTCATTGTTATCAAGGTATGTTTATATGTGTATCACAGCTATCTTCTGTATTTCACTTCAACCAATAAAATTGAATGTTATTCATGTAGGTTAAGTCATCTGGCGCAAGGGTAGGCTTTATTAATCGGCGTCGTTCTGAGAGAAAGGTCACACGGATGGTGGTGGTTATAGTAGTGGTGTTTGTGCTCTGCTGGCTGCCGTTCTTCATCATCAATATGGTCAACCTGGTGGTCATCATCCCCGAGTCAAGTGCCACCGCTGGGATCTACTTTTTTGCTGTCATCCTGTCCTACGCCAACTCCTGTGCAAACCCACTGCTCTACGGCTTTTTATCAGACAACTTCAAACAAAGCTTCAGAAAGGTTGGTTAATAATCCTACTGCCTAAAAATAACACCTCAGAGTTGTTAAAATTTCCGTTGTGACTCAGTGTTGGACTTTACTCAGTTGGTGTTCATGTTCACTTCCATTTTGTCAGTGTTTTTCTCCAAATTTGCTCTCTATAATAATTTGCACTCTTAGTGTTAGCCAACAAAGCCCTCACCACATTCACACGCTTTCGCCGACATAAACAACATCATCCCTAGAGTTTGGGGTTGCGGTTCTGTTTTAGGATTTATGTGAACCTGGTGATTAGTGCTGGGTCTCCATCATCAATTTCCGCTTCTTCCCTCTTCTACCTTCAACTATATTCACCATAAATCCTTATGAAACTAACCCAAATAAAACAAACTAATAACATAGACCAAAGGCAGGTCTTGATGACATTAAAAGCTGGATGAATCTAAACTCTCTGCTTTGGATGGCAGATAAATCTGAGGTCATTTCTTTTGCACCAGGGTCTATTTTCTATCAAGACAAAGTCATTTGAATCGCATATAGAAGAGTTTTACAGATTTTCTTTCTCTCATCTCTTGAATATTGCAAAAATCAGAAACCCTCTGTTAAATCCTCTGTAAATCAAATTTGAGAAACCATTTAATGCCAACAACAAACAGTACAATCCCCTACTATAGTTCAGACTCGGCTTATGTTCACTCTAATCAACCTTACAGAGTGTTTAGCATTTTACAACCTGTCTGAAGTCTTAATAAATTCCTTCATTCCTTTTGTGCCGAATTTCTTATTAATTTGTTTTGTTTTCTGTAATTTTTTTCCTTAGTCCATATTAGTGTCAATTGTTTTCCCATATTATTTTGTATTGTGGGTACAGTTTGTGTTTTTTGTTCAGCTCTCTTTGTGCATTTCTGTGTTTCATTATGACCTCTCTTAGTCCCTCTGCTCAGCACTCTGCCCAAGAAGTCTACATTTTCTGATCAGGCATTCATGTTTTCATTCCCTACTCTTTCTTAGAATTTAAGCCTGTTGTTTTTTGTATTCTTGATTGTTTGGTTCTTCTTTTCCACTCACCTCGGTTCTGTGCCCAGCTCTCTTTGTGCCAAACCTATCATTTTAGTTCATTTCCTTTTCACCATACTGCATACTTCCTTCTTACACCATATTTATGACAAGATTTATTTATTTTATTTTATTTAACCTTTATTTTACCAGGAAGTCCCTTGAGATAAAATCTCTTTTTCGAGGGAGACCTGGCCAAGAGGCAGCAGTACAATAAGACATATAAAAATACATAAAAACAACATAATAAAATCAATCATAAACTAGACTTTAGAATAACAGTTACAATTCTCTGTGCAAGCGGTTAATAAAAATAAATACAGGGGATATTTCCATTAATTTAAGAACGATCTCTTAAACATTTAGAAATGCAATATTGTAGTTCTCTAACCTAAATCAGCCATTAATAAAGGATATTTAAAAAATATTGATAACAGAAGAAAATAGTCTACGTGTTTGCTTGTTTTTACATAAGCATATCGTTTTCATCACTGTTACCAGATTCTAGCTTGATATTTTGTCCAATTATGTTTTGCATTATGTCCCAGGTTTTTGTTGTTAGAAGGCCTCCTTGCCATCCCCCTAATTGTTAACTCCATTCATAGATTCTACTTCGAATTTATCTTAGGACTGTTCTTGGAAACATAATGTTCTTTCCTTTTACTATTTAGTAATTCTCTTAATAATTTTAAAAATGAACTGGTGTAATAGCAGGATATCCATTCACCCTGTCTATTATGGTGAATATTACAGTAACCAAAAAACCTGATTATATGCCCAAGAACTCCTCTTTAAGTCATTTCTATGAGAAACTTTGAGAAAATTAAGGAAGCATACAAAAAATGAAATCAAAATGTGTTGTTTTCTGTAAATATGTTTATAATAATAATAATAATTAAACTTTATTGATCTCAGATTGGCAAAATTCACTCTCTCCATTTAGCAGTGGGCTGTTATTGTGCGGCGTCTGGGGAGCAATGTGGGGTTAAGGACTTTGCTCAGGAACCCAGAGTGGAGGCTGTGGGGATCGAATCAAGTACATCCAACCTTCTCATAGCACAAGTGCACTGCCCTAACCACTAGGCCAACACTCCCCACTATGCTCATATAAGAATCACCTGTATAATTTGCTACTTCTTCTTGTTTTGATATGATAAATTAACCATTAGAACATTTGTGCCATTTTCCTTAAAGCTTTGTCATATGGTTGTGAAACTTCTCCAAATAAACTTTCTGGTTGCCTTTCTGACACTGCAGGTGCTCTGTGTTAAGAGCTTGAGGTGTGGTGTCAATGGTGTTGATGATGGTGACCCCAGTGCACCGCGCACAGAGAAAACTACAGCACAGGACTGCATCTTGCTCTCCCCTCGAAACGATGCCTACCATGACCTACAAAGCAGCCAGGTAACATATATGTTTGAAATGCATTGGGGGGGTTATATTTGGAGAATCTAAAAGGGAAACATGAAAATAAATGTGTTTCTTAATGTAAATACTGCTAATAATATCTAATACCTTTGTTGCCTTTATCTTTTTTTGATTTCTTTGACTTCTCTTTATATATGGGGTCTTGCTATAAATATCGCACAAATGTTTACAATTAATGTGTAGTTGAATGCAATTCAGTCTGTCAAATTCCAAATCAGCCGCCTCTGCCTTAATACCACTGCACACTTTCATAAAACAGCCTTTGAAGACAGTTAGAGAGCTTACATGAAAAAAAAGGTTTGGCTCTTTTTTTGCAGCTTCATGGAATCCAATTAGGAAAGCTTTAGATCTGCTATAATAGCTCTGAGACTCCCTTTATGTTACACAAGCCAGTTCAAGGTTATTAAAACATAAGTCACAGAAGTTGGGTTACTGATCTTATATGAGCCTCGTGGAAGTTGTAAAAGCTGTTAAACTACTTAGACTATATTTCACATTACTGTAAAATGTAAAAAAAACATTGGTTTTCTACAACGATTCCGAGTACAAGTATTGTACCATGAACTTGTTTTCATCGTCCTATTCCGTTTAAAGCAAAAGCATGATGAATACGAAGAAACACAGCAGACAGCTCAAGGAAATACTTAGTGAAATCTAATGTAGGTGTGAGTTTTGGGACCGTTTCCTAAACTTTCAACATCCATTCCAAGTCATCGCTGTCTACTTAAACTGAAAAGCCAGACATGGCTTAAGGTTTTGTAATGATCTTAAAACAGAACGCCCAATGTTCAAGGCGAGACAGACACTGGGAAAGTTCAAAGTGTTTTTTTAACTACAGCATCGTGGAGTTGATCGTCAGCAGTGGTGGGCTCACTGGATTCTCTGTAGGAGTAGAGGCTCAGGTCAGTGACTTCCAAACTCAAACGAGGAACAACAATGAGCATGAAAGCCACCAACCTGGCACTGTTCAGCCTTAGCCCAGAAGAAGCGGTGAAGTTCCAAAGGAGCGGGACTCTGTTTGGTATGGAGCCAGTACCAGAGATCCAGAAGAGAAGAGGAGAAGTGTCTTGTGGCAGCCAGAGCACGCAGGGGAACCGATGGTAACTGGTCAGGAAACAGACAAAACTAAACACTGGGAAAGCTAGAGTAGTCTCGCTAGAAGCTGAGATAGAGAGAGGCTGGGATAGGAAGGTATAAATGGCATCAGGCACAGGTGGATCGGGTGAGAGATCATGAGCGCAGGGCAGAGCAAAGCAAAGCAGGTGAGAGAAAGAGGAAAATCCAGCCTGAAGGTGCCAAGATCATGACAGGTTTCTTTCCAGCCATCATGACTGACCTTGAACTGTTTTATTTTTGAAGAAGAATAGGCTAAAATTTTGACCTCTGCCTTCCCTGCTAATAAAGACAAACCCAAATTACTTTCAGCTGTTGCACTGATTTAAAAGGCCTTACAGTCTACACTATTATTTCAGATTATTTGCTGAACATATTTAAAACCACATTTCCTTTCCCCCCACCCGTAAATCTGCACTGGTGTTTTATAGATAGTATCGCTTTTACGTCACATATCCGAGTGTGAGCCTAGTAAGGATCACTGCCATATTAGGAAGAGTAAACTGAAAAAGCCACCAAAGAAGCAGACAGTGCTCACAGTAAATTTTAAAAGTGGTTTGAGTCCTACTGATTTATGTATACCAAGAAAACCTTCTACTAAAAGATAAGGGCAAGTATGGCAAAACATTTGCGCTAATCCACCGGGAAAACAGCCCCAGTGTCGGGAAATGCTTCAGCTGACAAAGGCTAAGTGCGGAGGGTCAAGAAAGTATGGCAGAAGATTGGTTAAGTCCACCCGGGGGAATAGTGCCGGAACGGGGAGAGGCTACAGCATGCAGAGGCTAGCTATAGAGGCTGACTACAGAAGATCGAGAGATCCTGGTAGAAGATCCGATAAGTCCGCCAGGGAAAAAGAGCACTGAAGGCAAGGGAGAGGCTTCAAGTGGCAAGGAAAAGCACAGAGGTAATTTGAAGAAGCCTGCCATGGAGTCAGAGCATAGAGAGGCTAGAGTCCTGCACGGGTCGAGTTTTACCAACCCGCACCCGCCCGAACCCGTTAGGATGACTACCGAACCCGACCCGTCACCCGTGGATATCTTCAATTCAAATCCGAACCCGACCCGACCCGTTGATATTTAACCCGCAACCCGACCCGTTAACACATCAAGTAATAGGCTATAGTACGCTGCGCTGCAGAACAGCGCCATAAACACTGCAGCAGACGTGTATGCACTGACTGTGGCCTTTTTGGAGGGAAGCCCACACTGTCAGCAGGGCTTTAAGCTACAACTAGGGTGACCTCAGACAGTGCCTGATTAATATAACATTTCTGATGTCCATAACAATAGACACGCATAAAAAAAAAAAAAAATCACCAACTACCCGCCCGCACTAAAAAAATATCCACCCGACGCCCGACCCGTTTATTTTTATTTATGTATTTTTCACCCGCAAAAGAGCATTTTTGCGGGTGACCCGTCGTGGGTACCCGACCCGTTGCAGGACTCTAAGAGAGGCTACAGCTGACTGAGGCTAGCCTCTAGGCTAACTGCGGGAGATTTAAGAGCACCACGGATAATAAGAGATGCATGCTCGAGCACACTGATGGAGAGAAGGCAGCAGTTGTGCAGTATTTGCACTGGAGGTAGGACCAAGAAACGGTCCTTCTAGGGCTAAATTTAAACAGCTTTTCTTTTTTTTAATCCTCCTAAAACCCTCTTTAGAGCATTCCCAATTCATCCTTTGGCTACATCATTTTCTCTATCTTCCACTTCTGTTTAAAAAAGCTTGTCTCTGCTGCTTTCTTAACTAAAACACTTGTCAATTCATGATACTTTCTCATCTCCTAATTTTTAGACTCAATAATACACTTCCAATGCTTACTACACATGTAGGTCCATTTTTTTATTTGTCAAGTTTAGCCATTTTTGCCGATCCTTCATAAAGCTTGCACCCAAGCTGATCTTTTTTCAACATTCAAATAAAATAACTTGGAGCATCTGGTAGTAAAGTTAGGGTTAAAAATAATAATAATTAAGAGCTATGGAGAGATTTTCAGGCCACAGTATTCATGGTCTCTGGTAGCATCACTGTTAATCGGTGTTCAGCCTCCTTTTTTTTGTTTCTTAGTACATTCAGTGGTATTTCTGTTAATTTTGTGACCTTCTCTGCCTTCTAAAGATCCTCCCCCATCCCACTGATTCTCTTGACCCTCAGACTGCGGCTGACCGGAGCCACACCATCCCTAAACACCAAGTTTCCTCCACGTTCCCAGGAACAGCCACTACAGCAATAAACTCCAATGTAACTTCTGAGACAACTGCCGTGGAACCTCCAACCATCACAGCCCTTACTACAGCCTCCTCATTAGCCTCCATTGCTCCACAGGGACAGTAGTGACTGTGGGTGTAAAGGGCTGGTTATACTCCTGCAGCAGTGTGTCGCAGTGAGCTTGACACAGATATTTTTGATTTATGCTCAATATTGAAGCGTGGTCTGTGCTATACGCTGTGGGTCTAGATACGGCCGGGGTGATAAGGAAGTGGGGGCGAGTTAAGTCCTACAATGGAGGGACATGACGGCGAAAAATAGCGAGGATCCAAGTGAAAAAGGGTCCCAGAGTTCCGGCGCAGCTCAATCTTCTAGTTGGTCAAACTTCATGAGTTGTTTTCCGCAATTTCGGTCATAAAAACAAAACAAGCCGGCCTCCTGTCTGCAGCACTGTCTGCAGTCAGTTACAATTTGGGAGAGGTGCAGCGGAGTGTCTGCGGAGGGGGCGGGGACGTCTTTTTATTCACTGCGACACCTACGCAGAGGACCTGGTTTCGAAGTATAAATCAGCCTTAAGAGTGCATCTGTAGAAGAGAAATATGCATGCTCGAGTCACTCATTAATGAGTAATACCTTAAGAAACATATTTTACTAAAATCTGCATACCTTTTTTAACTGAATTACAGCATTTGAGCTCATTCTTTGAGACTCAAAGATTTTTGTTTCCCAAAGTCAAACTCTCCATCAAAATTCCCCTGACATAAGTGCCTTTTTGTCATCTCTCAGAAATCATCTCAGCGCTCCTGAACGGAGAGAGAAACATCCATTTGATGCTTCTTGTTCTTTTTTATTTGTGTAAACAACTCTTAGAGCAAGTAACAATACTTCCACTTAGTACACTTAACCACCTCTGCATCAAGAAAATACAACAAATACAATGTATTTCATATACTGTAATTAGTAACATGAGTTAAATTGTCCTATTTCATGGTCACCAATTTCAAATTTCCTACCATACAGTTATGATTAATACAGTATGTATTCATCTCTGGCTTCAGAGATGCATTTTAATCTTTCTTTTTTTAAAGAGAAATTATGGTGGAAAGCACAACCTTTTGGCTTGAAGAAACAAAATTAAATTAAAATAAATGTATACACAATATATACATTTATATAAGATTAAACAAATATCACCTCAGCCACTCAGTTTTTGCAACCAAGCATGATGTCCAAGTATACATTTTCCTGCAATGCTGATGTTTTTTTTTGTTGTTGTTTTTTTATAGAACTAATGTAGTTAATTTAAATTGGCTGTTTTCCTGCAAGAAATTACTATCACATTCACTGCTTGGAATGTCCTTCCCACAGTTCTTACACCTACGGCATTGAAAATGTACGAGCGATGCTTAAGTGCCAGATTTTTGACAGGAAAATAAAACCAATTAAAATAAGCTAGCATTTCTGATGGAAACAGTGGCCCAAAAATTAGTTGACGACTGCTGAAACCTTTCCTGCAAGTACGCACTGAACACTCACCAGCTTTTTCAATGACAAATAGCCTTTTTTCCTCAACAACTGTGAAAAAAAAGAGGAACTCAGACTGTACAATTCATTATAAAACCAACTAAATCCAGCTGGTTGAAGTGTTTACAATTGTTTTTATATTTTTGCCTACTTCCAATTGCCTCATGACACTACTTTTCCTTCCTTGTCAAACTTTTCATTGGCTGTTGACAAGACATTACTACTGGGTCAGTAATCCATTTACACTTTCTGAGTGAACTTGTCAAATCCAAAGACATTTAAATGTGACTGAGTGTGGTTCTGCTCTGTTTCCCTCACACTGTTTTGATTATTTGCGACTTTGCCCTTCGCACACTAACAGCTTTTTTGTACCAACCTACTGTACCATGCCCCGACTAATCCAGACTCTGTAGACAGACTGTTTCCAGCTTTCTGGATAAATTGGGGATTGTCTATATCTATCTTTATGATGCATGCATTATGAAACACACACACACACACACACACACACACACATACCGGTATATATATATATATATATATATATATATATATATATATATATATATATATATATATATATATATATATATGTACATACATATACCTTATACTTTTGACCAAGACTGTGGTGTAATTAACCTCTACACATTTTGTGAAGTCTAATACTGTACATTATCTGTTATATTTGTGTGACCTTTCTTGCCATTTCTTACAGTTAGTATATCTGGCTGGCCGCGCAGTTGATTGAATTTGACCTCTTTCTGCTTTAACTTTTTTTTTTTGTGCTGATGTCTGAGCTTTTTTATTCTTTGCTCTTCTGCTCTTATACAGTGGGCTATATGGATATAATTTCTTTTTAGAAGAGATGCCGTTTTATTTATTCCTCACTTTAGCGTGAGCACGTTGCTGTACTGTGTGTGTTACTGTGTGATATAGCTTTGAGTAATTCAACTCTCATTTACCAAATGTGGTATTTGCATGTGCAGCTAAGCACATTTGGCCTTTATCATAATTATAACTGAGATTTTAGCTGTTACATATTCCGAATTGTAATTGGGACAATGTAAAAAATAATGGCTTCACTGCCATTAAATGTACTTATTTTTAACTGATAGTTACTCAATTTAGAATAGCAATTGAGCTCAGTATAGTGATTTTTTTTTAACTCTATTTTTTTTAACTCTGTTTACAAACTGAAAAACTATAAATAAAAATTCAAAGATGTACATTAAGTGCTAGATTTTGCAAGTTGTATTAACATACTGTTGTTTGTGTTTTGTTTCTTATAGTCCATCATTGTATAAACAAATGAATTAAGTTTAGAAATACATATGATTATTTTTTTACAATTTATTGTGAAAGTACATTAGACCAAATGTGAGCAAAGAAAACCTCCTGCTGCATTGTTGTGCCTTTTGTGTCTTGGAAGAAGTCACTTTGAAGCTCTATACAGAAGGTGACAGGTTGAACATGAGCAAGTGGACAAAAAAAAATTAAAATAAAGGAGGCAGTGTGGAAACTGATCATAGGTTGTAATCATCAAGCCTTTTACACAGAAATGTTTTGAGTAAATAATATTCCTTGTTGTAAAGATGTGGATGTTCTTGAAATAAAATGTTCTCAAAGTCTGGTCACATTTGTCAATGTTTTTGTTGCAGAAATGCATCCTACCATCTCCAAATAATCATACTGACTCTGTTGATTAAAATCATTGAGTGGATTTTTGAAGGACAGAAGGCTGACTTTATGAGAAACAGGATTTTTCATCTCGAGGACTGTTTCTGCTTTCAAGCTCAGGTTGAAGTTCAGCGTTATCTTATGTGTTTCTTTTATAGACCTGAAAACTCAACACACACTGCAAAAAACATCTAGAAATAAGTAAAAAATGTCTCAAATTAAGTGTATTTACCCTTAATTTGAGCAGGTGAATAAGATGATCTGCCAATGGAATTAGTATCTTTACTCCTAAAATAAGATAATTAGATAATATACACTTGAAATAAGACAAAGCGATTGTTTTTTTCTTATTTTAAATGTAAATTGTCTTGTTCCATTGGCAAAATGTCGCACTTACCTCCTCAATTCAAGAAAAAATGCACTTAATTTGAGCAATGACTTATTTAGATTTCCTTTTTTTGCAGTGCAGATTGAAAACTCTGTACCAGCCTTAAAGGACCTAGCACACAAGTGAAATACACCCAGTCATAGCTACTATATCATCTTTCAATGATAAGGTTTGACTTTAAACAGGCCTTACTATTTTATATATTTTGGAAGAGTTCTTGTGGACCGGTAGGTTTTAATGAAAGGTTATCAGACAGGATAGAGAGTAAGAGGAGAAAGAGAGCAAGTACAGCAAAGGATCTCATTTGTTTATAAAGAAATGCTTCACAAGACAGTAAAAGTGTAAATTCAGGAAAGGTTATTTTCTTGGTTAGCTCTTGCATTTTCTTGTGTTGGTGTTAAATTCACTTCATCTGTGGACAGGGACACTAGGGTATAAGCACACTACACAGTGGAAAAGATCTTAATCTAGATAAGTAATTTTTCTTCTTAAAATAAGAGCATTTGTTCTTGAATTGAGGAGATAAAAGAGACATTTTGCCAATAGAACAAGAAAATTAAGATTTAAAATAAGAAAACACAATTGCATTGTCTTATTTCAAGTACATATTATTTAATGATCTTATTTTAAGAGTAGAAATACTCATTCCATTGGCAAATTATCAAATTTACCTATTCAAATCAAGGGTAAATACACTTCATTTAAGACATTTTTACATATTTCTAGATCATTTTTCCAGTAAATTATTCCCACTGATAATTTTATTCAAAGGGTGAAAGTATAGAACAGATCCACAAAAAAATCCCACTACTATTCTGAATTACCATTTGTAAAACTAATATAATCTAAACCTTAATGTATATATTCCAAAAGGAGTTTTGATACTCTTACCGGGACTGTGGCTATAATTATGAACCAAATTAAAAGGCCAGCCACATGTTGTTGTAGAAATATTATTTGAAAAGAAGAAAACAACAACAGCTTAATAATGTGACATAATTAGGTAAATCTCATTCACACACAGAAACACAATGCATTTGAAGGTCATTGACTGCATAAATCTCAATATTCAGCTCACCGCCTCTCGAGATAAGCATGACTGAAACGAATACAAAGCAGCATGATCCAATAATGCAGAAATTATCTCTTCCTCACATCTAACTTGTTCCACACACAAAGTAACTCTCAAACAAAAAGCAGACAGAAGACACAAAAGCAAGACTTGGGCTACTATTTATTACAGAGGAGGTACAAAGTACAAAAGATTTGAGAGATAAAAAGCAAAAGCTTCAGGACAATTTGAAGTAATGCAACAAAATAAAGTTAGGACCATTTTAATCATCTTTAAAGCGTTTTATAAGAGAAAATCCAATATCTTCAAAACCAGAGGGAAACTTATGAATGAATTTCAAAATATTTAGCAGATTTTTTTCTGCAAATACTCCTTTATCATACACTTGAATGCTGATGTCTGGTAGCCTGGGTGCCATTCCGAACTTAGTCCCGCCCACAAAGTTTGAGGTCGGGAAGTTCGGTCTGGCTCTGCTCCATAGTAGCGCGAGTATTATCGCCCACTGTCAGGCGATCCAATCAAATTGTCAGGGCGGGCTTTATACGATGATGGACAGATGACCAACAGTAACGTAATCAACCACGTGACCAATGCGCACTTGGGTGACAACAACAATGGCTGCCGCTGGAGAGTTTAGGTGAGTAGATTCTGCTATTAGGTCTGTTCTAGAAGATATCGACAGCAAACTAATTTTAAAAGAGGAACAGAGAAACGCGATCAAGGCTCATCTTCTTATTATAGGCGTGAAACTGCACGCTTTGATTTTTGTGGACAACAACTATGCCTCGCTTAACATACGTCACGCACTCCGTTGCTCTTATTGGTTGTAGGTCTATCCAATTGAGTGCAGAGGCATTTTTTTTCCTGATTCGTTCGAAACACGCCCCATAATCACAGCTCTATGGACCAGTATCAGACTCATATTCTGACTAGAATTGAGTCGGACTACGTCAGGCTAGATATCTGGATGAATAGCAACAAGAAATAACTTGCTTCCTAGGTTGCTCTGTCTAGTAATTAAGTAATTTGCTGGTGGTGTAATGGGGTGGGGTGTGGTGCACTCTGGCTCCCTCAAAACCAGTCAACATTGTATTACTACCTACTCAATAATACTACCTCCCTCGACATTGATGCTTAACATGCTCAATGTTTTACCAACTCAGCGTACTGTACCTCTGGGGGCCGAATTCAGCAGAATAATTTACTATGTCACAGAGCTTATACCATCTAAAACCAGTTTTTTTTAAATATGACAGTGACCTCACTGTATTCCATTGGCATTAACAGTCACCAGATATCAATCCAGTAGAGCACCTTTTTGGAATGTGTTGGCATACAGATTTAAATCACAATGAATAGTCAACATTTCTGCTGCAACCATGGAATGCTATCACTTCTACCTTTAAGAATGAGTGCTTGTCTAACGAAGAAGGTGCACCTGATAAAATGGCTTGTTCATGGGATTTTTTATTAAGACCATCATGCTGTAAGCATTAAAATGTGATATGCACTTTTTAAATAAGATTTCTTTTGATTGCATTTCAGTGAAATTCAATTTTTATCTCAGAAACACTTCATAATAAATCATCTGTAAATTGTGTTATGTCTTTACATTAGGTTTTGAGTGCAGGCATGCACACTTGATTACATTTTTTTCCCTTGCCCTGCTTGTTAAATAAATCAACCAAGTGTTTATGAAACTGTGGATTTTGGTTGATGTAAAATTACTTTCACTTATTTTTCTAGCAGAGAGAGCTAGTGTGCCCAGCGTGATATACCACATGCATACACCTTCCAGCTTCCTTGTTTTTTTCACATTTCTTACTTCTTCAGTCTATAGGGAGCATGATGAAAGGGGGGAAGATCCTATTCTTGGTCACAAACAAATTAACCCATCCATCCATCCATTATCTGACACGCTTGTCCTGAGTGGGGTCGCAAGAGGTGCTGGTGCCTCTCTCCAGCAGTCAGTGGGTGAGAGGCGGGGTACACCCTGGACAGGTCCCCAGTCCCAAATTAACCCTCACCCTTAACCTAACCCTAACCATTACCTTGACATACCTAAACCTAATCTAAACTTATGTTACATGTTGGTCTTAAACCTTACCCTGAACCATGAAGAAAACTTCTCCTTGTGTGGACTAGTCATCACTCCCCACAAGTACCTATAATGGAGCATTGTCCCCACCAGGAAATAATATACGGCCACATCTTACATACAAACACACATTCACACAAAAAATAACACACATCAACGAGAGTTTAGCTTCAATATATGCAGATAAAGTCCAAGAATCTGTGTATGGGTCCAGAGCAGTCCCCTGGGGCGAAGCGATCACACAGCCCGAGGGCTGACCTTA